ACCACAGACCGGCCGCCACAGAACGACAACCAAACCACCTCAAACAAAACTTCATTCAGGGGGGCCATAGGACAGCCTAGGCATTCTTTTGCCAATGCTCTTCAGGAAGCCATTCGACACCCTGGGACCATCCCTGGTGTACTCATTGCCAGATTGAAAGGACGCCTTGTGATGAATCAAGATCGCATTCAGCAACTCAAAGCCCAGCTTTCGCTGACATCTTCCATTTCGGGGCCCGGTTTGCAAGGGATTCCCTGGCGTGATGGCACCAAAGTGCCGTCTCCACAGTCCAGCCGAAAGTCTTTTAGGAGCCCGGGTGGAGCGCAAGCGACCCCAATCCGCCTGGATCCAGGTGCCATCCTCACGCCTCAGCGCAGGTCTCGTCGGCTGAAACCCAAAGGATTCTTTGGCTCTGGTCGGAACCTATCGAAGGCTCAAGCAAGGATCCTGACAAAGTGTGCGTCGGGACATCCACAGAAGTCAAACACAATGGTCAGGGCGTGCATGGTTGCACGCCCCTGAGAATCGTTCAACACTCGGGTCTTTTGACCAAATAGTAGACCTGCCCAGCCGAGCCCGCAGCTGAAGTTCTGTTTCCAGGATGGAGCCTGCGCCGAAGATGCGTGGATTCGTGGATCAGTTGCATTGATATGATTGAAGCGGTGATTCGCTTTTGCTGGGCTCACTGCGGATTGCAAAGGTATGGCGTATCACGTTGAAAACCAGCTCACCACGCAAACACGAAACCCTGGGTGAGGGCATTTAAAAAAATGAAATAAAAAAACGATGGTCTCTCCAGAAAGCGCTCAGGATGGCTCTCCTTTTGGGGGTCTAGGCCCGGGCCTTGGAGCTTGGAGTTCCGCGCGCTGTCCTGCCAGGAGCCCGGCACCGTGTCCACGGGGTAGGAGATGCGCACGTACCTCGGGGTGAAATCTGGAGGGTACCCCGTTTTGGAGTGCTCCAAAAAAGCGCCAAGAACCCACTCGTCATTTGTTCTGGGTCCAACAGCTTTAGACAAAAGAAAAGTCGACGCAGGATCCTTGACAGTGAGGTGCTGGAACGCAAATGTTGTTTCAGTTGCAAGCCTGTAGCCGTTGCACCTACGAAACCCTGCGTGCATCATCGTCCACCGCTAAAAGCCTCGCCAGAGACGGTGCTCGCCAGGGGCACTCGTTGAAGAGGGGTTCCGAGGCCCCGCCGGGTGCGAACTTCCCGTCGACAACTGTGAAGGTTTGGTCGGCGATGACCTCAGATGGCTATGCCTTTTAATGGGGAACCCTTTTGTGGACGTTGACGTTGAACAGTTGTCTCCACTCAACACTGTGCAAGGTGTTCCTCATTAAAACATTGTAGACAAGATGGCTTCTATTGCAAAATCGGCCGTTGGCATTGAGTGAAAAGCCCCGAGCTTGTCGCCGCTGGGCGGCATGAATGCAGTCCTTCTTCCACGAGTCGTCCGGTTGCCGGAGACGCGCGCAAAGACGCGAGCCGTCGAAGAAGGCATCCTGGCGAAGGGCGAAATTCGGCATGTGCCTAGCTGCAGGGCCCTCTCACTCCAGCTTATCTTTATATGGCCTTGGGTCAGAATCCAAATCGTACCCCCAGTGCACATCCCAATCCCAACTAAAATAGACTGAAATGGGTGGTACACCTACCCCAAAATGGTACCATTGGTTTTGACCCACAGCCATATTAGTTGGCAGTGGCTTTGTTTGTGCGTTTCAAGGCACTCCGGACTCACCAACATGCAACCCGAAGTGCCGGACGACCTCATGCAAGCAGCCGACTATGTTAACCCCGTAGCAGGCTGCGTCAGACAAATCAAGAATGGCCACACGCGAAGCCATGGCATGACAGCGTCCAAGCTCGAGCCTGTGCATCCTCCGTCCATGTTCCGCCTCGGCGAAACAAAGCGATGTCCGGGGCTTTCAGTGCGAGGCATGCCATTGATTGCCGCGAAATGGGCCACTGTCATGCTAATTTCAGAAGGGGGTCATCATGACTTCCCTGGCAGGCATAGCTGTCAAACAAGCTTCCCTCATCTGCTTTGATTTTGAAAGTGTAGATGAAGGCCATCGCACGGTGCTTTCCTACTACAGGATGCTCAGCAGTCCGCTCGTCAGCTCCAGCTGGTCTCTACAAACCATGCGATGTGGATATATCTAGCGTACAATGGGCGAGCATTGCAAGTCCTCTAACCCAGTAAGTTGTCTTTGTCTTCACCCCGGAAGAAGCTGCGGTGCTCCGGCTGCAACCAGACCTTGACTCGGCCTCGCTCCCCAAACACCCCCCCCCGGCCTGGCAAGTTGACCGCCGCGCCGGGCTGAGACCGGCCAGGGAACGGCTTGAACCAGGTCTCCCTGGGCGCCTCACTTTGAGCCGCACCCAGCCAGGCGCCGAGCTTACGGCCAAAAACAAGTGACAGGACAAAGGTGACCTGGTCCTAAAGTGGTCTTGGGATCCGATCCCCTGGATCCTTTGGATCCGATCCCCTGGGTGAAAGGAAACCAAGAAATCCAACTGTCGTCCCCTGGAACGATTCAGCTATGTCAACTGATGGCGTTGGAGAATTCCCTCCATGAAGCGCTTCATGGGACCCCGCACCAGCTGCGCCAGGCTTGGCTCAACGAGGCAGGTCCACCTGAGATCCCGTCACGACTTGTGGCGAGAGTTCTTCCCTTGTGAGCTGCTCATCATTGAATCATCGTATGAAACTTATGGCAGTTCGCGAACTAGTAAATGGATCAATGGATCAGACTAAGCTCAGCAAGCTCCAAGATTTCTTGCCAAGGTCGGTAGCTCCGAAACATGCAACGCTGTAAGTTGCAATGGCCACCTGGGCCAAAGGGGCCCGTGAAACTGACAACGCCATGAACCTGGTTGTGAACCTGAGGCTTTGGAAGTCTCTACAACACAGACCAGCTGTCATGTGACAAAGATGCATCTGTACAAGCGTGTTTCATTTCATTCAAAAGCACTTGCGATGGACAATGGTGGGGCCACTCTCGTCGTACTCACCCTTGGAAATCCACATCTGCTGGAAAGTGCTCAGGGATGACAGGATGGAACCGCCAATCCACACACTGTACTTCCGCTCAGGCGGGGCCACAACCTTGATCTTCATGGTAGAGGGCGCAAGTGCAGTCAACTCCTTGGTCATGCGCTCTCCAATGCCCGGAAACATGGTGGTGCCACCTGAGAGCACAACGTTTGCATACAACTCTCTTCGAATGTCAACATCACATTTCATGATCGACTGAAAGGTTGTATCGTGGATGCCGCTGGCCTCCTTCCCCACAAAGCTTGGCTGAAAAAGAACCTCAGCACAGCGGAAACGTTCGCTGCCAACTGTCGTGATGTTACCATCAGGCAGTTCATATGTCTTCTCCTTGTCGCTGCTTTCAGAGGAAGCCTTCATCTCGCTATCGAAGTCGATCGCAACGTAGCAAAGCTTTTCTTTCATGTCGCGCACGATCTCCCTCTCTGCAGTAGTGTTGAAAGAGTAGCCTCGTTCAGTAAGGATCTTCATCATGTACTCTGTGAGATCACGGCCAGCCAAATCCAATCGAAGGATGGCATGGGGCAAAGCATAGCCCTCATATATGGGCACTGTGTGGCTGACACCATCACCGCTGTCCATGACAATGCCTGTGGTTCGGCCAGAAGCATACAAGGACAGCACCGCTTGGATGGCGACATACATGGCTGGAACATTGAAGGTCTCAAACATGATCTGCGTCATTCGCTCCCGGTTGGCCTTGGGATTCAGCGGTGCTTCCGTCAAGAGCACCGGATGCTCTTCAGGTGCACATCGCAGCTCATTGTAGAATGTGTGATGCCAGATTTTCTCCATATCGTCCCAGTTCGTAACGATGCCATGCTCGATGGGATATTTTAGCGTGAGCACACCCCTCTTAGCCTGCGCCTGGTCGCCGACCATGTGGTCTTGCAAGTCCATGCCAACCATGATGCCAGGCATCTTGGGCCGGCCGATGATGGATGGGAACACCGCCCGTGGCGCCTCGTCGCCGGCGAAACCCGCCTTGCACACTCCGCTACCGTTGTCCACCACAAGTGCCGCAACCTCGTCGTCGAGCGCCATGGCGAGCGAGTGACTGCTTGCTGCACTGGGGCTCTGCGGGTTCTTGCACGAGGCTGCTAAGCCAAATACTCAGGCGGCCCCTTTCTGGCTAAATCGCAGCATGGGCGAGATCATGTCTTCAAGAAGTTGTAAATCCTCTCCAAGTAGAGAGTTGCAGTCACCAATTGCATTACTCCAGTTGCAATCGAGCAAGGACCGCTGCAAACAGGAGACTCCCTTTCACCTCAAGGCCCCCCTGGCTCTCTAGCTACCCATTTCCTGAGGGTCCGACCCGAGGAGAACCTTACAAGCGGGACAGAGAGAAACGGCACCCCAACTCTCCAGCCGCTCCGGGCCCTCACTCCCACACAGCCGAAGCCCTCAAGCACATCAGACCGATCCCCCTTTGGAACTGGGCAGTTCCCAAGGATCTGCTGTGTTTGTCACAACGGAACCAACTTGACGGTGCTGGGGCCCCAGCCAAGACTGGAAGCGCGGCCGCCATTGCACTGCATGGCACACTGCTGCGACAAGAAGTACCAGGGCCAAATCACGTTGTCTTGAAGACAAGACCGAGCCCGAGGACGGTAGAAGGAAATAGGTCGAATTGCGAGTGGATCGAAGCTGTACAATTGTGGCATATCAGACTAAAAGAATCAAGACTTGGCTTAATTTCTGCGCCACGTGGTGGGGTGGGGTGGGGGCAAGAAGCTTGCCGATCATGGGCCGAGTTTCCCGGCACTGTCACTTCGCATCGGCATCCTACCAGTACCTGGCCTGGAGCCAAACGATGCCACGTCCTGTAGGTTCCCGAGCACTAAAGGAGTGCAACCCGTCCCTTTCAGATCACCCACACTTCGATGTTTGGGGTGTTGTTCACGCGGTTCACTCGACCTACTACCCAAGCCAAGCGCTCCACATTCGCCCTGTCCGCTGGCCGTCGTCCTTCAGAAAGACATCTACCACCTGCCGGGCTCCAAGCATTCACATGAATCGACCCAAACATGGGTGCTGAATGCTTGTTAATGTCTGCACTGCGTGGGCATTCGATGACATTGCCAGCTGAAATGATGCAACTTGCGTTTATGCACACTGATCTAGTGAACGGACATTCGTGCAAATGCTGAGCATTGATTCCTCACCAGCTTCGGCCGGAGGTTAGATTACCCGGCGCTCCTCGCAGTCACATTCTGGTCATTTGACATGTTCTTGGAATCATTGCATTGTAACAAAATGCGATGCCACAAATCAGCTGGCAAGGCCAAGGACATATGGTGTCTGGCATGGTGCTGAGCGCAAAGCTGGGCAGATCGTCCCACAATCATACTCCCCATTCCGCTGTCCGTCTGCGACGAATCCTCTGAAAAATGCAGGGGCATCGGCCCTTGCAAAACGCATTGAAGGCTTGAAATCACTCCGATGTGTCACTTCCCAAATCAACTCACCGGGATGCTCATGTTGCAAAAGTGCATGCATCTGAATGCATTCACACTGCTGTTGCACGGTTGCACTTCCTGAAATTTGGAAACAAGCTGAGCTGAAGCCGCCTGAAGCCTGGGCTAACGGCTTGACAGGTCCACTTGAGCATTTTGCTGTGCCTACTTGGATAGGTGCATGAGCTGCAAGCTTGACATGATTCATGATTTAAAGCCTTGAGGCCCTCACCAGTACGTACACCTCTGTCTGCAAAAACTGCTTTACAAATCACGCATGCCCAAGCAGCCTTGTACCAGTTTCCACACTCGCACAAGGCATGAGGTCGACACTCCGGCGCTTGGGGACCAGGGGAAAACTGCATTTCGCCTTTACCGCGAAGAGGCACGGGTCACAATCTCCGAAACAAGTTTGGCAGTCTGTGGATGCAAGCACAGGTGCTGCAAAGCTCGACGCAAAGTGCAAAGTGTGCAAGCACAGGGCATGAAATGCTGACATGCCCATGTCCCCCAAAGACACGAGTTGCTGCGCCTCGCCTGGCCGATTTTGCTGAACTCCTCCCGCAATGTCATCTGTGTGGCGCCGAAGGGAATGCCACCAACCCACAGCCTCAAACCGAGGCACACGGCTTCCCCGGCAAGCTCCGGCTTGACAGGTGCCTGTTAGCCTGTGGCTGGGAACAGGTGCAGAAACTAGCTACTGGCGCCTTGCGCCATGGTCTTGCGCGCTCCCCTTCCCTTCGAGCACCGGACTTGCTGGGATTGTCGGCTCGTGGCCGAACTTGCAGGGGCCTCAGAGAAGGACCTTGCCACATGTAACCTTGTTTCCCCAAGGAGAGCACTTGACGTCAGTGACAGGCGCGACACAGTGTTTCTCAACCAGGGATCATTGGACAAATACCACTCGAAACCGTGAGGACCAGCACCAGGCGTTGTGCACCACTCCAAATCAATCTATCTACCAGCCATGGTCATGTTTACACAAAACTAACCAAGCATACACATCGCCTTAAGAAAAACAGAGTCCGTACAGGCTTCCGTTCACTGCCTGAAAACCAGTGCAGCTTCAACGTCATGCCGATCCCGCTGCCTCAAGCGTACCCCTCCCGCCAAATTTCGGCGAAGGACCACACTTTCAGTGGTCCTGTCGCGGACTCCAAATTTTTTCGGCCCAGCACAGGCCGTGCCCGTTGTCAAAAGCAATGGACCCGGGCCCCGGCTGGTCCGGCGCCGGTGCCGGCGGGGGCGGGACTTGGAAGCCAGCGGCCTGCCGGTCTGCCAGTCTCAGGTCTCAACGCCCGGAGTTTCCATGGGACTAAACTTGGGATGGATACGCCTCAAACGCAATGGATGTCAAGTGGCCTTCAAACACAATGGACTGTATACATCCAATACGACTTGCCTCCAAGAGGCCACCCACAGGATGGATGTATATGCCTACAGATCATGATGTTCCAAGTTGTGCCAGAAACGAACTTGTTGGAGCACGTTCAAAGAGCCCTGAAAAAGGCTCTGGTGCCCTTTGATCAGTCGGCGGGGCTGGTTGGGTCGTTCCTCTTAGGCCAGAGTCGCTGGTCTTAGGGTCATTACCCTTTGATCAGTCGCTGGCTGGTTTGGGGTAGGCTTAAGGTCAGGTTTAGGTGGATTTCTGATTGGATGACGGTTGGCTTAGCGTTGGCTGTGCTGGATACGCGTGGGCTTAGGCTCGGTTTCGGCTGGCTTAGCGATGCTTGAGTGCCAGTTTGGGGTTGGTATAGGGTTTTGTTTAGCGTTGATGTAGTGTTGTTTTCTGCTGGATGTAGGGTGGGTTTATGATTGGCCGCGTGCTGCTGCAAGGTATGCGTAGTTCCAAGCGGCTGGGGATGGCTGGGGTGAGTTAACGCGACGTGGGGCGACTTACGACGCCCGCTTGTATGCCAAGCAACAAACCAACGTGCCCCGAGTTGTTATTTCTTAGGTTTTGGCGGGCCGGGTCGTGGGCAGCGTCCCCGGTCGTTGCTCGGCCTGCAACAGCCCCCTGCAACTCTGGGGCTCAGCCCCGTGCGTTTTAAGTCACCCCATTTTTTGCAAAACACAATGGGCGCAGAGCTGGAAGGGCGATGTTGCCAACCTGAAGAATTCACCGCACACTGCACGCACATGCTCAAAACTCACTGGCTTGGGTTCATGTTGAATGCTTTTCCCGGGCAAAACCCTATTGGGCGCACTGCAATCATAAATGGTGTAACCGGACCAACCAGCCAGCCCCGGCCAGGGCTAAGCCAACCGGTTCCGGGCCAGAACACCCGACAAAAGGGCTGCCGGCGCGAGTGCCGTTCGACTCTGCGCGAGTGCCGCGCGAGCGCCGGGTGAGCCGTGCCCTCATCCCAATGAAGATTGCTTCCGCTTGTGGCACAACTTCAAGTGCTGCGGCACGAGAAGAGAGAACCACCCAGTGGCAGTGAACATACACGCATGCACATGGCACATGGAAGCCGACGAATTGTTGATGTTATGAATCTGGGATCTCATGGGCACCTTTCTGTCAGGATACCTCGAGTAGAACATCATACATGTTGCATGCGCACAGCACAGAACTATGCGATTTCAGAATATGACATGCTTGAGACAACTATCCTTACATCCACAAACACAACGGGCACACTCAACCGGGACGACTTAGATCAACCCGGGACGACTTACAGCACTTACCCGGTAAGATTCACATTGGCAGTTCTTTGATTTGGGTCGCTAGATCGTGGGCTCCTCCCTCCCACGTCCAGCCTGCGCACTCGCCGCAAAGGCACCAGACCTTTCAAGGCGGAACACCAAAGAATCGTTGGGCATTGGATCTCTCCCCTTGAGAACAAGGGAGAGAACATCTTCCAAACCAAAAGGGCTCAACGGCCTGCTCCCTTGAGGCCCTGGCTGGAAGGCGGACATTGCCTCGTTGGCGCCACTGGCGTCCACAAAGGTCACGAAGCCCCACCTCAGTCGTGCTTCGCTGCCCAATACGGCGGAAAAACAGCCTCAATTCATGGTGTTTCTTGTTTTTCATTGTGTTTCTTGTGTCTTGAGGGGAAAAAGGAAAATACTCCAAACGTTTCGATAGGGCCCAACTCTGACGCAACATTGCGCAAGCAACCAGCATCCGGGCCCCACGCATGCGCCCGAAGACCTTGCCGTCGTCGCGAATGTAGATGTCTTGAACCTGCAAGTGGCCCTCAAACCCCTGACGCCTGCACTCGTAATTAAGCATGACAGCAGCACGGGGCCGTACTTCGAGAACTCGGCCCACAGCACGTCCTGCAGGGTGAAGAGCAGCGCATTCCCAAATGGGTGGTCACAACAATTCGAAAAGGACAGCAAACGGATCCTCATTGCTTTCGCAACCGGCCATTTGCAAGCCTCTCCTTGGAAGTGCCCAGAGGGATCTGTCCCACCCAGAGCTTGTTTCCGGAATCATTGGTGTGCGTGGCCAGCTTTATCTCCAAACCTGAAGCCCAAACGGCATCCGGCTTGCCGCACCGGATGCAGGCGGATCGATCCGGCGCCGGGAAACCCCCCGCGGTTTCGCAGAAACCCCCCCACTTTCGGCCTTTGATCTGGGTGTGGGTCAAAAATAGGGTAACCCCAAAATGCAGCCCTGGTAAAAGGAAACATGGACCAAAACCTGCGGTCTGGTTTAACTTTGACACCCTTTTGGCGTGGGACCTTCAAGCCCTTCCATTCAGTCGATGGAAAAACACACGGCCCACATGGCCCCCGCCTGATAGGTTGCCGGGCCTCGGACACATGTCTGAGAAATTGCACCCAGGCCCTGACGAGTTTCTCGGATTTTCTACTGCGTTCAGAGAGTGTCAGACAGCTCTCTTGCCAAGCTACAATTCAAGCTAAGCCAACTCCAAGCAAATCCGATTCCACAGCAAATCCAAGAGGGCTCCTGGAGCCCTCAAGTCCCGGGCTGATCGTAGGGCGACTGCCGCGGCCCCTCAGCCGTCGATCTCTGGAGCTTTCGAGCCCTCACTTGGCGACCCCTCCGAGCCTTGGCCGACTTGGACTGGGAGTACATCACCTTGATAGGCCCGGCCAAACCTGCCGGTGTGTTCCTTGGCGAAACGACTGGCACCGATCAAAAGCCACTCAGACACACATATCAATATATATATATATATATATATAGAAAACATACAAGAATATATTCTGACGCTCTGACACACTGACACACACTGACACACACTGACACGCACTGACACACACTGACACGCACTGACACACACTGAACACACTGAACACACTGAACACACACTGACACACTGACACGCACTGAGACACACACACACACACACACGTGTGTATAATGCATTGAAGAACTGGAAAGTCCAGCAGGAAAGGTTGCTTTCAAGAAGGAGCAACCCCATTGAGGCTCGCACCCATTCAGGTTGTTCACGATCCACTGGGCTTGGGCCTCCGGTGCGCCAATTGGAGCAGTCTGAGCGGCCAAACGTAGAAACAATGACTTTGAGAATTTCATTCAGGCAATGCGGCTCTATCCGGGCAAACTCACCTGGTCCCATCCGTTGCCAAAAGGACTTGCTCGCAATGGCTCTGGGGTCCCCGCCACATCAATCATCTCCACCAAGCCAGCTCTGTCTTGCATGCCGTTGTTGGGCAGAACTTTGCAGCGCACAACCTAGCCATGAAGTGTCTATGCAAGCGTAAAAGGGCTCTGTTCTGGAGACGCACACTACATCACCACATTCTCAACTAAGATGTCACGGGATCAGCAACCGACATGGGTTCAAACAAGAAGGAATCCAAAGAGATATGATTCTCCAGTCAGCTTACGAAACAAAGGAAAGGCACAACCTGGGGTCAATCCTCAATCGACCGCTTTGCTGTTTTGTTCCGAATCCGCACAAGATGTGTGGCGTTTCTGAAGCAGGGGCATTCCAGAAGGGACATGTTGGAAAGGAATGCTTGGTTTCCACCAGAACAAACGTCTCATTTGCCGATCATGTGTACATCGTGAGCAGGGATGCGCATGTTGCGCACAGCACAATTTGGCGCAGAAGCCGCGGAAGTCTGCTCCGAACTGAGCGGAAGACTCTCGTTGCACACATCACAATTGTACTGCAAATCCGAGCGAGGGCATTCGTGCTGATTGGCAGCAACAATAACCTCCCTTGTGAGATTGTCCCAAGCTTGACATCAAGCAAATCTAGCAAAAAGGATTGCTCAAACCAAGCGATGCTATATGCACACAGACCCACAAAAACCGCATCCCATGGTGCCCCATGCTGCGAGCAGCGGTGCCATAGTATGTGAAGAGCTCTCGAAGCTGCTGCTCGCTGAACTCCGGCGGCCTGAAAATGCTCGCTGAAAATGCTCGGCGGTGCGCCTGTAGAAAGAATAGACTTGCAGGACGCCTGTTGAGCGCGATGATTTAACGCTTAAGCTCACAGTTGCACAAACACTGACTGGCTTGGTCTGTTTCAACACAAGGCTGCGCAGCATGAGACCTGATTTAGGGGGGAAGGAAGAAAGGAAATACTTCTCGAAGTCGAGGCAACGCTATCTCTGTGCCTCCTAGAACCAAACAGGTCTGATAAATACATCTTGTCACTATGGGGCCATAATCCAAGTCATGCAAGTGCAGTTCTCTGAATGGCAACCCTTGAGCCCCTCGCAAACCCGTGACAAACAGGTTCTCACAGGGATCTGAGCTCCTGCGGGGTGTACAAGCAGGGCCTTCGCCAGAAGTGAACTCTTGGGACCATGCTACCATGTTTCAATGCTTCAATCAAAACCCCGCACATGTCCTGCCGCCCATCTTGCCATAGTTGCTAGCTGCCGCCCCGCCTCACTGCAAACTTCCATATCAGCTTTGGCCACATGCAACAAACCGATCTTCAAGACCCGAACATATCCGAGATCCCCGCCCATGCCGGGCATGACGGTAGCCATCGGTTGCCCCATCTGCTGCATGCAGCCCATGTTGCCACATCCATAACCGCCGCAACCGCACCCAGTGCAGCCGCAGCCTCCACAGCAATTGCCGCATCCACAGCCTCCACAACATCCTCCACAGCAGCCGCATCCTCCGCACCCTCCGCACCCTCCGCAACCGCAGGCCCCACAGCCACAGCCAGCGCACCCGCCGCCACAGCCACACCCGCCACAGCCGCAACCGCAACCCCCGCAGCAATTTCCGCCATAGCCACAGTTGCCGCAGCCACCACAACCGCCACAGCCACAACCGCATCCACCACAGTTGCAACCACAACCTCCGCATCCATCGCAATATCCACCACATCCTCCGCAGCCTTGAGGGCAATTGCATCCACAGCCGCAATTGCCCCCGCCGCAACCTCCGCAACCGCAGCTGCCGCAGCCAGCACAGCCGGCGCAGCCAGCGCATCCAGCACAGCCGCAAGGTGTCTCAACCTGGTAGGCCTGGCAGATTTGTGAGGGTCTGAACCCGCTCCAGCTCTTGCCAAACTTGCTTCCGACATCAAAACTGGCGGGGGTCAATGGAACAAAAATAGTCTGCAGAGGCTGCCATTGCACCAGGCCATGCGCCAGAAGCCATGAGATGTACCAGGTGCATGTGACATGACTCATCTTTCGGATGCAGGTGGCACTAGCGCATCTGGCGAAACATCGTGTTCCCACATATCATAGGAAGCACCTACCTCTCCCAGTGCGCTCCTGGGGCGCCACGACGATGCACTTCATCGCCTCATAGCTGCTCTTGGCCTGACACGGAGCGGTTGCCGGCATGCTGCGGCAGGCTTGTTGCTGCCTCTCTCCTTCCAAATAGCTGATCTCTCAAAAGGGAGGCACCTCAACCTCAATGTGACTTGCAAAAGACACTGGCAGGGTCAAGGAAAAAACTCGGCGAGGACGAATCTAGCCCTCCTTCTTCAATTTCATTGACGCGACCGGGCCCAGGCATGACAGCCCCAAGAGCATCTTCCACCCATCGCCATGATATCCGGCGCTTCGGCCGATCAGATCCACCAATCCACCTCTCTCCTCTCCTCTCCTCTCCCACCTCGGAGAGGTCCGCCTCGAGCTGCACTGTGCAGCCCACCGCTACCTGCTGCTCCCCGAGCACCTCGAGGAGGGCAAAAGCGTGGAAAAGAAAATTAGCCCGTTCGAGAAACCAACCCGACGCCTCAATAGCTTCCAGGCCGGAACTCCTAAACCATCATGAAACTGTCCTAAAGACACGCGGCCATAGGTTCATGTCCGCCGACCCCCCTGCCTGCAAGGGGAAGGCGCTGGGGGAGTGTTCGTTTAGCGTTGGAGCGTGACTGTGGCAGCCTTCTCCCTTCCCTTTCGCCCTCGCCCGTTCAGCCCTGTACCTTACCAGCCTTCTTTCTTTCCCTTTTTTCTTGTTCTTCTTCGTTTCTTTTCTTTCCTTTTCCTTTCTGCCGCCGGCGCACTCCTTTGGTTGGCGCTCGCTGTGGACAAACGAGTGCGGCCTGGAAGAGCGCGGGAAGCGAAGCTTTTGTGGCTGGCCGCTCCCTCTGCACCGATAGCCTTACTGCATATTGGACTCAAACGCGATGTTAGGCACCGCGGCGGAGCAGGCTGCCGGCGCACTCCTTTGGTTCGTGCTCGCTGCGGCGAAGCGAGTGCGGCCTCCAAGCGCGCTGGACGCGAAGCTGTTCTTGCTGGTTGCGCCCTGGGGACCGATAGCTTTCTACTTTCTATATAGGATTCAAAAGTGACGTTTGGCACCCGGCCGCGGCGGGGCAGCCGCCCTTGGCAAGACGCACAGCAAACCCAAAGGGAGAAAGACCAGGGATAGGCAAACTGTGACAGACGCAGGCGCACATGGGCATGGACAGGCCGGGGATTGAACCTGGCCCCTCTCGCATGCTGAGCGGGTGCGATGCCACTACACCAACTGCCCCTGAGCTGAGGAGGCCGAGAGTGCTCAAGTACCTGCTGGGCACAGCTTTAAGCGCTGAAGCTCTGTCACGGCCAGCCCGTTCGGCCTGTTTGTCCACAGCGAGCAACAACCAAAGGAGCGCGCCGGCAGCAGAAAGGAAAAGGAAAGAAACCAAAGGAGTGCGCCGGCAGCAGAAAGGAAGAGAACGGGCGGGCCCGCACTCGTTTGCCCACAGCGAGCACCAACCAAAGGAGTGCGCCGGCAGCAGAAAGGAAGAAAAGGCCGGACGGGCGGGCCGTGACAGAGCTTCAGCGCTGAAAACTGTGCCCTGCAGGTGCTTGAGCGCTTTTCCAGGCCGCACTCGTTTGCCCGCAGCGAGCACCAACCAAAGGAGTGCGCCGGCAGCAGGTAGGAAGAAAACGAGCGCGGCCTGGAAAAGCGCGGGAAGCGAAGCTTTTGTGGCTGGCCGCTCCCTCTGGACCGATAGCCTTACTGCATATTGGACTCAACGCGACGTTAGGCACCGCGGCGGAGCAGGCTGCCGGCGCACTCCTTTGGTTCGTGCTCGCTGCGGCGAAGCGAGTGCGGCCTCCAAGCGCGCTGGACGCGAAGCTGTTCTTGCTTGCCTGGGGACCGATAGCTTTCTATTTTCTATATAGGATTCAAAAGTGACGTTCGGCACCCGGCCGCGGCGGGGCAGCCGCCCTTGGCAAGACGCACAGCAAACCCAAAGGGAGAAAGACCAGGGATAGGCAAACTGTGACAGACGCAGGCGCACATGGGCATGGACAGGCCGGGGATTGAACCCGGCCCCTCTCGCATGCTGAGCGGGTGTGATGCCACTACACCAACTGCCCCTGAGCTGAGGAGGCCGAGAGTGCTCAAGCTACCTGCTGGGCACAGCTTTCAGCGCTGAAGCTCTGTCACGGCCAGCCCGTTCGGCCTGTTTGTCCACAGCGAGCACCAACCAAAGGAGTGCGCCGGCAGCAGAAAGGAAAAGGAAAGAAACCAAAGGAGTGCGCCGGCAGCAGAAAGGAAGAGAACGGGCGGGCCCGCACTCGTTTGCCCACAGCGAGCACCAACCAAAGGAGTGCGCCGGCAGCAGAAAGGAAGAAAAAAGGCCGGACGGGCGGGCCGTGACAGAGCTTCAGCGCTGAAAACTGTGCCCTGCAGGTGCTTGAGCGCTTTTCCAGTGCGCCGGCAGCAGATAGGAAGAAAACGAGTGCGGCCTGGAAAAGCGCGGGAAGCGAAGCTTTTGTGGCTGGCCGCTCCCTCTGGACCGATAGCCTTACTGCATATTGGACTCAAACGCGACGTTAGGCACCGCGGCGGAGCAGGCTGCCGGCGCACTCCTTTGGTTCGTGCTCGCTGCGGCGAAGCGAGTGCGGCCTCCAAGCGCGCTGGACGCGAAGCTGTTCTTGCTGGTTGCGCCCTGGGGACCGATAGCTTTCTATTTTCTATATAGGATTCAAAAGTGACGTTCGGCACCCGGCCGCGGCGGAGCAGCCGCCCTTGGCAAGACGCACAGCAAACCCAAAGGGAGAAAGACCAGGGATAGGCAAACTGTGACAGACGCAGGCGCACATGGGCATGGACAGGCCGGGGATTGAACCTGGCCCCTCTCGCATGCTGAGCGGGTGTGATGCCACTACACCAACTGCCCCTGAGCTGAGGAGGCCGAGAGTGCTCAAGTACCTGCTGGGCACAGCTTTCAGCGCTGAAGCTCTGTCACGGCCAGCCCGTTCGGCCTGTTTTCTTCCTATCTGCTGCCGGCACACTCCTTTGGTTGGTGCTCGCTGTGGGCAAACGAGTGCGGCCTTGAAAAGCGCTCAAGCACCTGCAGGGCACAGTTGTCAGCGCTGAAGCTCTGTCACGGCCCGCCCGTCCGGCCTTTTTTCTTCGGCGCACTCCTTTGGTTGGTGCTCGCTGTCCGCCCGTTCGGCCCCTTTTCTTCCTTTCTGCTGCCGGCGCACTCCTTTGGTTTCTTTCCTTTCCCTTTCTGCTGCCGGCGCAACTCCTTTGGTTGGTGCTCGCTGTGGACAAACGAGCGCGGCCTGGAAAAGCGCGGGAAGCGAAGCTTTTGTGGCTGGCCGCTCCCTCTGGACCGATAGCCTTACTGCATATTGGACTCAAACGCGACGTTAGGCACCCGGCCGCGGCGGAGCAGGCTGCCGGCGCACTCCTTTGGTTCGTGCTCGCTGCGGCGAAGCGAGTGCGGCCTCCAAGCGCGCTGGACGCGAAGCTGTTCTTGCTGGTTGCGCCCTGGGGACCGATAGCTTTCTACTTTCTATATAGGATTCAAAAGTGACGTTCGGCACCCGGCCGCGTAGGAGCAGCCGCCCTTGGCAAGAATGCACCGTACAAACAAGCAAGCAAGCAAGCAAGCAAGCAAGCAAGCAAACAAGCAAGCAAGCAAGCCAGCAAGCCTGAACCAGCCAAAAGTCGCTGCCAGAACAAAAAAAACCTGGGCTGGCCCCCGGTGGAGGGGTCGGCGGCACTGGGCGGCACTAAAAAATCCGGCCACCGGACGTGATCGGGCCGCAGGCCAAAGCCCGTTAGGGCTTACCTTCAAGGTATAAGGCCGTGCGCCCCATGCCGCCGACCATGCGCCGACCATGCGCCGACCATGCGCCGACCATGCGCAGAACATGCGCATACGTTTTATGCTGGGCCCTCCCTTATAAGGGGCGAAGGATTTGCGGATTGGTTTAGGCAATTTCCGAGGATTTTTGTAGCATCTCCCCGCAGCGCCCAAAAACGAGTCCAAAAACGAGTATTTTTAGGGGGTGCCTAATACAGGACTACACCCCCAGCATTGCCAGCATCATCCTGGATGATGCGGATGATGCTATGCATGCTGGCGATGCGGGTGATGCTGGGGATGTTGTCCCCTAAGTCGGGCCAATTTTGCCGAAAACGTGCAGCCTGAAAATCTTAAAATCTCAAGTGGATGGAAAATGGCCTGGATTGAAATCTCAAAATCCTAAAGTCTTAGATTCTTAAAATCTTAAATTAAAATCTAACAATCAATGATAGAATCTCAAGATCTTAAAATCTTAGAACTTAGAATCTTAAAATCTGAAAATATAAAAACTTCCTAAAGTCTTCGAATCTTGAAACCTTACAAACCTTATGTCTTAGAATCTTGAGATCTTAAACTCTTAACATATGAAATTCCTAAAGTCGTACAATCTTAAAATCTCAGAATCTTAAAAAGCTTTAAAGACTTAAATTCTTTCAGCCTCGAACAATTGAAATGTGAAAATCTCAAATTAATAAAAACGTTACATTCCTTCAATCCGGGCTAGATTTTAACTTCCTTAAACTCTTAATCTTGAATTTTGAAATCTTGAAACCTTAAGATCTTAAAATTACAACCTTAGAAGATAGAATCTTGCAACCTGAAAATATAAACATCCTCAAGTCTTCGAATCTTGACTTCTTAAAACCCTCATGTCGTTGAATCTTCAGATGTTAAAATGTTAAAATATGAAATTCCTAACTTCTCAAAGTCTTAAAATCTCAGACTCTGAAACTTAGATTCTTTAAATCTCGAACTATTGCAATCTGAAAATCTTAAATTCATAAACAAGCAAAATATAATAAAATTCCTTCAATCCGGGCTATATTCTAAATTCCTTAAACTCTTAATCTTGAAATATTGAAGTCTTGACATCTTAAGATCTTACAATCTTAAATTCCGAAAGTCGCAAAATCTGAAAATCTCACAAAAAAAACTTAAAGCCTTCGAAATCTGATACTGGATGGAAAATGGCTGGGCAATGGCCTGGCTGTTATAACCTTCAAAAACCTTAAATCTTTGAATCTTAAAACCTTAATTCTTAAACCATTGAAACCTTAAATTCCAAAAGTCTTCAAATCTGAGACCCTTAGAATCTCAAAGTCTTTAGAATTTTTAAGTCTTAACATCTACTCATCGGACTTACCGGAAAGGGAAGTCACAGAACGGGCAGGGCAAGGTGCCCGGTGGCCGGCTGTGTCGCGTCAGCGTGTAAATATTCGATCGACGTAAGGAAGGAAAGCCTTCACGAGAAACAGCCACTCGATCTAGAAAGGGCAGCAGGAATCTCCACGTTTGAAACGTTTTGTTTGGCAGGATAACAAGCTCGCGTTGGTAAGACTTAATGAAAGGTGTCCAATGAACAACTCCACAGCAAAACACATCATAACCTAATGAACATTGGTCTGCTTGTCAGGTTGGATGAGGCTGATTGCTGCGAAGGGCAATGTCAAGAACGTGCCCCATAACCAGCAAATGAAGCTATTTTTGCGGGCTTTGCCTGTCAACACCCTGCCATCTTCCTGCTGAATAAGTCCAATCCAACAATGGGTCATGGGCTTGGAACTGCTTTGATGGCGTAAGCCAAACGTTTTGATACCGCGTCTATTCGGGCCGGATGTACAGCAAACAAAGAAGTGAGCTGGTCTCCCTACAGCAGAGCCAAACTGAAAGCGTCTGCGGGCAAGCCAAAAGGAGCCACTGCGGCGCAAATCCCAAAAGGAAGATCCTGCAAAAAGTATTGATATTCAATCAAGTGCAGTACAAGGCGTAGATCGTGCTCGGAGGGGAGAAACTCGCTTGACCAATACGATCGGTGCTCACATTTGCAGCTGCGTGGATCCGAACAAAATTCAGCAAATGGGACCGTGTTCCTGAAAAACCATCTGTCTGCAAATGGGCCGCTGATCGTCGGACGATGATGTCCAAGGCTCCATCCTGCAGGGCGTGGCACCCAGAAGAGCCTCCCAAATTTGTTTCAAGTGGTAGGCACGAATGGAAAGCTTCTGGTGTTGCTGGGCCGTGTCTGACATGTGCATCTGGGCCGGGGAAAAGTGACACAGCTCTGCCTGAGTCCTGTTTTTAAGATCCTGAGCCCCATGCTGTTGCAGCTTTCAGAAGCACAAATGAAACCAACTCATTTGTCCTCACCTCTTGCAAAGAGTCCTTGAGCTTAGCAGCTGCTTCTTGGAAAGTAGTGAATACTTTGATTGTTGCGATGAAGCACTTGAGCTATGCAGGTTGTTGGAAGGTGTGAATGCTTGGTGTGCAGCTTCCAAGTAGTGGCATCTCGCAAAGCACGCAAAGAGTGAATGCTGCAACTCCACAATTGAACAACAAAAACTAAAGACGTCTTCTAAGGCACTCAGCAAATTGATCACCTGTCAATCAATGCACATAAAGCCTTTCAAGAAGCACATAAGCCACAAGAATGGTGTCAATCCGCGGCTTGTGATTCGAGTCAGACCTTGTTACGGCAAACCAAATCGACAAAAACAACGACAAAAAAGACTAGTGCTACTTTTTACCACACACCCCGCACAAGTCTGGTTACCAACAGGGGCCCTTGCGGTTGCAGTGATGTTTGCACGGATCTCAAGGTGAAGTGCTAATGCATACCAAAGCTTCTCGCCACTCTAGAGCGGCCATCTCTCCCTCCTCTCTTTCTTTTTCTCTCTCTCTCTCTCTCTCTCTCTCTCTCTCTCCTCTCTTTCTAAAGTTCTATGCTGGTGCAAAAACTTGACTTTTTGCCCCTGCCTGAACACCATCAGGTCTGATTAAACCTCGGCGCCCGGGTTCCCCGAAACCCACTTGACTTTCCGAAGCTCGAACTGAATCAACGCGAGTGAGGCGCCGGCCGAGACCTTGGCTCTCATCCCAGGCCTTCACCACGCCATTAAACCTCAGGTGGTACAGCTGCAAGGGAAGCTTGGAGTTGGCCATGGCTTGTCACTCTCTGGCAATCTACCGCATGGCGGAAAGCTAGCCTTAGCGATGCCTGAAAACTCAGGCTGATGAGTCTGTCAGCGCGAAAAGTCCTTGCATATGATACTGTTGCACGCGGTTTAAGATCGGTAGTCTGAGTTATGTCAAGTTTCCCCGGCTTAAACACGAACCTCCCACTGCTTCGGTACCATGATTTATGTCAAGTTCGAACCCCAAAAAATCCTGTTGAAAAAAAAATGGCTCAAAATGTGCAATATTGGCAACTGATTTCTCCTCTCAGCTTCATGGCTCAGTCCCGGTAGTGAAACTCTGCAAATCTTTGGTTGCTCAACCTGAGACGCTGTGGGCCTCAGCCTTTGTGGCCTTAAACTTAGCAAGGGACCCTGATCCCAACCATCAAAATTATTTACTTAAATCCATCCAAAAACAAGCCCCAAACAGTCCTGCAAAGGGGGTTGCCCACAAGGGGGCCTGATCCTCTTTAAGGGGCACTGCTTGGGTACCATGTTTAATGTCCAGTCTTAGGGGTGGGTGGGTTAGAAATCCAAAAGGAAGTGCTGGCAATACTAAACCAAGTAGTGGCAGCCCAAAAGGAAGTGCTGGCAATACTAACCAAGTAGTGGCAACCCAAAAGGAAGTGCTGGCAATACTAAACCAAGTAGTGGCAATCCAAAAGGAAGTGCTGGCAATACTAAACTAAGTAGTGGCAATATAAAGCAATACTTAAGTCATCCAAGCTCCCTGCCAAATCCTTATTCAGGATCCCCAGGACTGTTTTGACTGTTTCAGGGGGGGGGCCACAGTACATAAGGTCCAACATTAGTGCAAACCGCAAAGCAAAAGCAACTGGGCAGTGACCAAAGCACTTCCAGTGACTCTGACAGGACAAGACGACGCTCTTGAAGATGCAAAATCGAAGTGATGATTGCCGTCGTGAGTAACACTTCTGTGCTTCCCCGTGGCTCTAAGGCATCATTTGGAAACAGGTCCGCGGGCAAGCGGAAATACTCGAAACCAGTCTGGGGCATTGGCGTTTGAGCCATGACCTGTGACGGGTGCAGCGGCGTGAGGATGACTCTGTTCAACATCCCGAGCATCCCGAAAAGCCGAAAGCATGTGTGAATGCTGTTGGAATCCAGGCCTTGGCCCAAAAGTTGCTGCTTTTTCTGCCTCACTCGGAAATCTGGATTTCCAAAGGGTATGCCCCCTTGCCAACACATACATTCCCAAAAATCCCTGCTGCAACCACTTGCCTTTGGCTCCGAGCCCTGCCTGCCGTCTCGCGGAAGCTCTCCAATGGGGCTATGAGCGCCCCCCAAAATACCCGTGAAAACTTGTTCTCGTTGTCGCTTTTCCTTCTCCGCCACCATTCTGTCTATTGTGTTTCTGCTCGAACTCTGTTTTCGCCTAGGTGCTTTGTCCACTAGCTGGCTCCAAATGTTTCACTCAGTTGCCTTTGTTCTCATGTATTCTAGCAGCTGTGATCCATTGCGTCGTCAGTTCAAGAATGTCATAGGTCTGGATACATTGCCGCCCAGCTTGAATTTATTGTCGCAATCACGACATACCCAGCATCATGAATGCACCAGGGAATTCAGGTGAGTTGAGCAAAGTCCCATAGAAAAAGGCTTTGATAGCTGGGCTGAATAAACACCCGCCCAACAGAAAGTTGGGAGTGATGACAACCTTCATCGCACTCCCACACGACGAGTGTCAGAGCACGGCGGGCGCACCGGGTACGGTGACAGCTTGGGGCCTCAGCCGTTCCCGGTCAAAGGGCATCTCTCATGAAGGCTGACTGGAAACATATCATGTTCATGGCCTTTGCTTGCTCATATTCCCGTTGCCTCTTTGATGAACTTCAGTTTTGGCATCCGGTTTCCCCATTCAGCTCGTGCCGTGCTCCCCACTGCTTTGGACTCTTTCGAGCTCCTGCCAAACGGAAGTGCTGCATTGGATGACTCGTCCGCTGTGTCCCTTTCCACACCTCCTTGACCAGAATAAACGCACCTTAAATCCAAAATGGAATTTCATCCAGAAAAAATGAGTCGACCGCCAACTATCACTAGCCCTGCCTCGACAGCCTCTTTGGCAGCTCGTGCCGCCTCATATTTCAAGGAGCTCTGAATGCATCAAGAAGGCACCCTCCGTAAACCCCTTGGATGTGCATTCCCTTACGAAACCATGGTGCAAAGTTGGAAGCTGCTAACGAGGAACAACGGCTGACCCGACTTTTCTCGACGGACGAAAGCCACTTAGCTGCAAACCTCTGCGATCAACCACCGGGGTGGAAGCGCCTCGACCGAAAGCTCGGTGCATTTCCGCTTTCAGAAGGTGGCAAAAGAGCACTAGCCGCACTCGGCTGCAATGGGTTTGCATCTCGACCAAACCAAACCGCCAAAAAGGGGATTGAGCCTACTGAAAGAGGCCCACAAGCAAGGACATGGGAAGCCATCCCTCCTGACAACAATCAACACTGCAAAGAATTTCGGCTTGAAAAGGAAGTAGCAACACAACAGCAATCAAAGCCTGCTTTCAACCCATGCGCACGAAGCACTGGCCCAAGCCACAACCACGAAAACCCCAACACCCAAAACTCACCTGTGGAGGGCTCTTCCGTCGCGGCCTGTCGCCAGGAGGCCCGTTCTGCCACGCGACCATTGATTGAGGCCAACAACAAGATTCTGTTCTAAGGAAAAAACCAGACTTCCTTTGTCACAGTTGGATTGGTAAAAATGCCAGCTGTGCTCCTGTGGCCTTGACTATGCAATTCCGCAACATCAATGGAGGCGCAAAGAGAAACATTTGAGCATTGATGACCTTGACGCCGCGCTACGAACGCGGAAGATGCGCTCCACACACACACACACATTCACACACACACACACCCACGCACGCACGCACGCACGCACGCACGCACGCACGCACGCACGCACGCCACGCACGCCGCACACACACACACACACACACACACACACACAGGCACGCAGGCACGCAGGCACGCAGGCACGCACGCAGGCACGCAGGCACGCAGGCACGCAGGCACGCAGGCACGCAGGCACGCAGGCACGCAGGCACGCAGGCACGCAGGCACGCAGGCACGCAGGCACGCAGGCACGCAGGCACGCAGGCACGCAGGCACGCAGGCACGCAGGCACGCAGGCACGCAGGCACGCAGGCACGCAGGCACGCAGGCACGCAGGCACGCAGGCACGCAGGCACGCAGGCACGCAGGCACGCAGGCACGCAGGCACGCAGGCAGGCAGGCAGGCAGGCAGGCAGGCACTGTGGATTGCGATTGCGTGTCCCAGGCCCTGCGGATGACACCGCAGAAGCGCGAAAACGGCGAAAACGCCGAAAACCGCGAAAACGCCGAAAACGGCGAAAACGGCGAAAACGCCGAAAACGGCGAAAACGCGAAAACGGCGAAAACGGCGAAAACGGTGCCACAGGTTCACCGTTCCCGCCGTTCTCGCCGTTTTCGCCGGGCCAGTTTCTCAATTTCTGCTGTCCGCAGCGTGTCGCTGGCGGCTGTAAATTGCTTTCGCGGGGCGCGGGTTGGGGGCAAGAGGCCGTCAGCAGGCTGTTGCCACATGTTCGCAGCGCGTGTTGCCAGATGTTACCTGTCTTTCGCAGCCACACCATGCGAGAATGCACTTACACTGCCTCGCTGCCATGCTGCGCAGTGCCAAGCAAGGCCTGCTTTGGCCAGCAGGCTGGATGGAAGTTCCAAGTGGACCCCTCCGATCCCAACGCGGCCCGCACACTCAGGCGGCACGAAGAGCAGCACGCCAGCAACGAGGCTGACTGCGAAGCCTTGTGCTCCCTGGCTGCCAAGGTCACACGGGACGCAGGCGGCTTTAGCTGTGAGTGCGGTTTCTTCCACGGGAAGTTGACCAGGCTGTTGAACCACAAGTGCAAGGCCGCCGAGCCACGCTTGCCTGCCTAAGTCCGGCGCCGGCGAGCTACTGCAGCTTTGGCAGCCGCAGCCCGTCAAGTGACCGGCGCTGGCGCCGCAGCTGATGAGGCAGCGGCGCGCGGTTCAGAGGAGTCGCCCTTGGCCCCTGTGCTGGCAGAAATGGTTTCCAGCAAGAGGTCTGTGGCTCGGAGACTGCAGTCCTTGGATTTGACAACTCCTCCGCGCGCCATGCCCTGGGCGTGCTGCATGGCAGAGCGTCCAGCGCGGGCGGGCGACTTTGTCCCACATCCAGCCATGAAGAAGTCCTTCTTACAAATTCAAAGCAGTTGCTCGGACAACGAGGTCTTGGCCTTGCGCTTTCGCCCGTTCCCTCTTGCAGGAGAATGTCGGATACACCCTCCAGCTGGTGGCGAACGGCTGCTGGCGAGCCATTCCTTCTGGCAAGCTTGAGCGGGCACGGCTCGACAGAATGCAAGTGCCTGTGCCTTTCCCATCCGCATTTTGCCATCCATATTTTACTGGGATTATTTTCAAGATTTGGGTTAACGGTTTTAATTCTCCCTTTTCCATTGGTTAACCATTTTTTGGGGAGTGATAATCTATGTAGTATGGCGCTGGGAGAGCTTAGAAAATACGCAGTTAGAAGACACTTAAAGACATGATGGTAAACAGCAGTATGGAAAACTTACAGAGATGCAGTAGGTGCAGAAAACAGAAAGAACTAGGAGAGTTCAAGGATGGGAGAAAAGTATGTAACTATTGCCTTTCTAGTGCTAAGACTTATCAACAAAATAATCCTGAGAAAATGGCGGGGAGATGTCGCAGGTATTATGTCAATCATAGAAACGAGATTTTGGAACAGAAGAGAGAAAAACGATATTGTGATCTTTGCAAGGTAGAAGTAGCTAAATCAGAATGGACGAAGCATTTACTGACTAGTCGGCACCAACGATATCAAATGATAGAAGCTGGGGAGAAGTTGGAAGCCGATCGTGGCGATTCGTGGTGGTGCGATGTCTGTCAAGTATTTTTAGCAAAGAAAACATCAAAGTGTAGCCATAATGGATCGAAAAGGCATTGTGAATTAGCAAAGTCACAAGGAGTTGAGGAGTAAATGGGTTGATACATTTGTCTTGCGATGATTGTATCAATGCGTTTGGGATATTTATTAATTTAATGGGTGGGATTTTGCGCAGTATGGCGGGTGGAGTGGGGACAAAATGCGCAGTATGACGGCGGGAGAAGTCACCACTAACTGCAGGGTCAGTTGAAGACCCCGCACGCTGCCTCATGCGGGCCCACTCAGCTTCTCCCTCTTTCTCAAGCCTGTCATAGACTGAGCCCAGCTGGCTCAAGGTGACAGGGCTGTCACGTTGCGACCCTTCATCAGGCGGAAGGTGTTCGGAGGCCCTGGGAGGTGTGGCTTCCTGCCGCGGAGAGTTCATGACGAAGGCTTGCCGGGCACAGGGCTGGCAGGCTCCTCTAATCTCAAAAAGGCTGCGGAAGACACATGCATGACTTGCTGTTGTTGCATGTCAAGATGCGCAGCAACGCATCCAGCAACGCATCCCTGGCACATTGTCCAACCGCACGCTCAATCCAGCACGGGCCTTGTTCTCATACTCTGGAGTTTGTATTTGCCACTGAGAGTCACAGGCTGCCTTCAAGGTACATGGCATAAATGCTCCTCATTGCCGGAGTGGTCGCGTCAACGCGCTGCATGCACGTCCCAGCATCATTCCCTGCCAGCAAGGCATTCGCAAGCCTTTCACCTGCGCTCCGGAAAGCTGCCAAGGCTGCGGCGCCTCCGTGGAAGTCGGCACCAGCCCCTGCACACGCACGAGCCTGCACCTCTCGAAGCCATCTTTCGACGCTGACCAAGTACACTGTTTCCTCGCTTCCCTGAGACCGAGCCAGGTTTCTTGACATCCTTTGCATGTTGCGCCAGAACCGCTCGACCCCGACGGTCCCAAGGGAGATATTATAGCCTTGGCTGACGCACCATCGTTTCGCTTCATGGGCAGCCATCAGGCCGCGCACAATCAGCGGCTTTTGCTGCAGCTGCACTGCTTTGGCAAAATTGCGGCCGCCAGCAACTTTCGAGGAGTCCCACACACGCGTGGG